TTTGCAGGAGCCTGGGTGCAATGTGAAGGGACCTTACAAGCCTTCTATTCATCATGCAAAAAGATCACACACCTCCTTCTTCAAAGGCCACCGATCCAGGGTAGGTGTTGTAGGAATCCATTCTACCAATAGTTTTAGCATGCCGGCTTTAAGGGGTGGCTTCTTGTCTTCAGGTGTGATCTCTTACAGACAAGAAGCCACGCCCTAAAGCCAGCACCCCAAAGCTATTGGTGGAATGAATTTCCACACCAGGTAAGGGAGAAAAAGCCAGGTGTCTCACACCCTCCTGCGTGGACACAGAGCCTGGCTCAGTGCCTCCCACTCCTTATGTTTCTCCTTCCTCTTGCTTCTCAGGGCCTCCTTCTCCTCCCCATCCCCAGCCTCTGGCAGGACAAAAAGTCAAGGCAGATAGGAGTCAAGAGGTAGCAAAACTAGTTTCCAGGAGCCGAAGGTGGGAAAAGCGAGAGAAGAAGGGGTGGAGGGAGAGAGGAGGGGAGACTGTCTCTCCCATCACCAGCCTCTGGCATCCCCCAACCCTCAGGCCTATATGCTCCCTGAGACCATTCCCATGGCTTTCCGATAGGAAGGAGAGTAATAATACAGGATACAGTGAGTCAGAACCCAAGTCCAGAACCTGGTCACCATTAGGTCCTCAACTTTAGACAAGACTCTACCTCTCTGAGGCTCAGTGTCTGAACCTGTGAAATGAGGGTGCTACCAGTAACCTGCCATGGAAGATTTAAGGCCATGCAAAGGTCTTAGGGTGGGTTCTCCCAGCAGCGGACCCTAAGCCTGGAACTCCACTACGTAACCCCAGTAACCGCAGTAAATGCCAGCAGTGAAACAGAGCGTGAGCCAGAGGAAAAGAAAATGAAGTGCAGCAAGCTGTCCATCAGGGGGGCACCGAGGTACCCGGAACTAATTCAGCCAGAGAGAGCTAGGAACAGGGACAGTTGTCTGTGCCATTTGCAGATGGAACACTGTTGTACCTGGCAGGCACATAGCCCAGAAGATTCCATGGGGCCAAGAAAACCCCTGGGCAAAAAGATACAGAGGCAGCTGGGTGTGTGGAGCCTCCAGGAGGCCCCAGGTTCAAGTCCCAGCTCTAAATGACAGTGAGGTTGGTGTCACACACCTGTGATCCCAGCATTGAGGAAGTGGAGTCGGGAAGATTAGAAGTTTAAGGTCATTGTTGACTATATAAAGAGCGGGAGACCAGCCTGGGATCCATAAGACCCTGTCTGAAAACAAAAGAATAAACAAAAAGCCTCAGAAGTAGGTAGCTGAACACTGGCCAGAATGTCCTATAAGATCAGGGGGACGTAGTCAGGGCCCTTACAGTGGCTGCTGGTGTAACACTAGAGTGAGGCAGAAGCAGGGGGCTTCCTGTGCCACCCAACGTCCCATGCTGAGGCTCTGGCAGAGCTCCTAGGTGGCACCCGAGCCCCCCGAGAACCTCGCGGCAAATCTGCCTCACGGATCCATCCCATAGGGCTGTCAGATAGGCCAAGACAGAGATCGGAGGTGGAAAACGGCTCACCACTCCACGTCTGTCATCACAGGGGAGCTAAGTGAGAAGCAGAAGATGGAGCTGGAGCGACACGTGGCCCTGGTGCAGCAGCAGAACAAGGAGCTGAGCATGCTCAAAGTGAAGGTGGCACAGACAAGCGGCCTGGTGGAGAAGAAAGACAGGGAACTGAAGGTCCTCAGGGAGGCGCTCAGGTGTGGGAAGGGCCCCTGTGGCATGACCACCCCAAGGCGCCTGGCACAGAGAGAGGGCTCGGCAGACGGTGGTGGAATCGGATGGGTGAAGGAGTGGTGGTGTTTCGTTGCTTCAGAGACCCATTAACTAAAACAAGGCTGTGCTCTGTGCTGGACCGGGCGTTCTCCCGGGCGGCAGGGCTCAGCTTAAATGCAGGAAGTCTGAAAGAATTCAGTCACCTATGAAAATAGCTTTTACCTCCAGGTCACAGAGGGATGCAAAGGTCCCCGAGTTTTCTAACACCGCGATGTCCCTCTCTATCCCAGGGCTTCCCACAGACCCCACCTGAGCACGGAGCAGAAGCCGAGGAATCCGACCCCCAAGTGTGACATCTCCCTGCAGATAGAACCAGTGCACCAGGATACATTCTCCAGTCTCCAAGAGGTCAGTGTCTGGAGCTGGGGCTCCAGGCAGGACTGGGTTGGTGACAGCCAAAGGCCCAAGGGTTAATGGCTCCTAAAAGTAGTGCTCATTCACATGGAATGGCAAAGTCAGACAGAGTGCTGCCCCGTGGTCACAGTCTCCATGGTTACACTATCAACAACGGAGACAGGGCCAGCAGCTCTCTCTTCTGAAGCCGCCAGGTCTTCCTACAATCTCGAACTGTAGTAGCGGTTGGGTAGTGGCCGGCTCTCCACCTTGGAGCAAGTTGGCCTGGGCTTGAATGCCAACCCCTCCACGCATAGAAAGTCTGTGCCCGTGGGGAAATCACAGCACCCCAGTTCTCGCCTTTGAGACTAAGAGTCCCACTTCAAAGGGTGGTTGGGAATATGTTTTATTTATGCACACCCACAAACACAGCTGGTAGAAAATTTTCTGCTAATTCTTCAATTTGTTCCTCTTGCTCGTGTGTGTGTGTGTGTGTGTGTGTGTGTGTGTGTGTGTGTTATGCACGTGTGGATACCGAAGGAGGACACTGGCTGTAAGCTATCTGGCCCAAACTGTCTTATCACCCTGAGATAGGGTCCCTTGCCCAACCCGGGGTGTGTACCGTTTTATTTTTCCTGCAGGGCTGGTGAGCAAACCACAGTGTTCTCCTATTTCCATACCCCCCACCATCGCCATCAGCTTTGGGGTTACAAGTGCATGCAGCCATGCTTAGCTCTTTAAATGGGTGCTGGGTACCTGAACTCAGTTCCCCAATGCTTCCCAGTAAGCCATCTCCTCTGCTCATAGACATTGTTTGATGGCCTCTTCTCAGCCAAGTCTGTAAAAGTCCACATTGTTTGTTTAAGTGGCTGCTTGGAATTCCATTTTGTGTCAGTTTTATCTACTCAGTCCCCGGATGATGGAGAGTTCAGCTGTGTCTCCCTTAACCTGGCGCTGTAGTTAGTGATACGTTGCCCCTCTGTAGAACTCACACCTGGCTGTGAACCTGCTGGGGCCAAGGGGCTTCCTAAACTGTGTGGCACAGAACCAAATGACCTTCAGCCCCCCCACACATTCCATGGCAGTCCCTTGATAAGGTCTCCCTCTGTGACTGCCCACGAGTCCCAGATGCTCATCCAATGGGAAGCATGTCTGAGTGAGAACAGCCTCCATCAGATGGTCCCCGAAGCTGATGCTCACACTCTGCCCCACGCCTGGTGTCATCGCCTTCCCCATCGTTCCTAGTGGGCTGACTGTGGGGCGCAGTGGTTCCTCGAGGCCTCCGATTCCTAGAGTCCAGCCCAGAACAACCTTTTCTTTCCACTTTGAGAAACCAGAGAATGAGTCATCTGCCAAAGAAACAAGGCCAAATATGTCAACAAAGACATTACCCCTGCCAGACAGCAGCGAGCCCAGGCTTCAGGCAGCCAGGATGAAAGCGTTTGAGGTCCAGCCAGCTGTCCCTGGCACTGAGTGCCCTTCAGAGCACTTTAATAGAAAGGGGCTCCGGTTGCTCAGGGCAACCAGGAGGAGGAGTGCAATGGCCCAGGTGGCTGGAAACTCAGCTGGGCGGCAGAAAATATCCATCACTCCCGTAGGAATCCTGAGTTCTAGAAGCAGGCTCTGACCCACGGCCACTACTGAGCACCTGCCGTGAATCAGGCCTTGTTCTAGACAGGAAAAGGTTCACAGGCGCCCTACACATAATCACCCCCCCTCCAACATACACGCCCCACATGTGTTCCGTGGGGAGACCTGTTGAATGGTGACTTTTAGTGTCTGTCTTCAAGCTGAGGTTAATGGGAGAAGGAGGATGCAAGATCAAAGGCAAAAAGCATCCCTTCTTGGAACAGGGGTCCTCGCCCAGGCTACTTCCTGTTTCCGAAGCCAGAGAGGGTCAGAGGGCTCAAGAGTTGTGTGAGAAAGAATCCCTGTCCTCTCTCAGTAAGAGAGTTCCCAGAGGAGCCTGAGGAGAGGTCACATGGTGATGGTGCTTCCTCTCCCAGCGCGTGGAAGCCTAGAGGAGTCTGGCCTGGCTGCTGAGCCTTTCCTTAGCCCGAATGCAGCATCTCCCGCATCTGTCCAGAAGGAGGGAGCCTTTGGGTGACTCATTCCAGGAGAAACAGATGCCCTCAGGCAGATGATTGAGACCCATGCAGAACCAAGCCCTGAGGTGGTACAGCTTTGGAGCAATACACCAGACCAGTTAGGTCCCCTCACCCACCCGGCAGTCCCAGCACTATCAGAAGCTGGGGAAGGCGGCTCACTCCTTCCAGACTGTGCAGGCACATGCTCAGGCCAGGGAGGACCACGGTCTCCACAGGAGGGAGGCGTGCTTTGCCCTCCTGGAGCCTGTGTGTGGGAAGGGAGGAAACAGCAAGAAAGTAGCCAGTATAGAACAAACCATCCTAGGGATTGGGGCGGGACAAGCAGCTTGAGGAGCCCTTAGGGCAGGATTTGAGACAGTCCTAGTTAGTTCCCTCTTGCTGTGATAAAGGCTCTGACCAAAAACAGCTTAGGGAGGAAAGGGCTCATTTATCTTATAGCTTACAGTTCATTGGGAGGAAGTCAGGGCACACACTCAAGGCAGGACCCTGGGGGCTGGGAGTGAAGCAGAGGCCACAGAGGAGTGCTGCTTACTGGCTTGCTTTTCCTGGTTTGCTCACCCTGCTTTCTTTAATTTTTTTTTTAAATTTATTTTTATTTTATGTACATTGGTGTTTTGCCTACGGGTATGTCCACATGAGTGCATCAAATCCCCCTGAAACAGGAGTTGCAGACAGCTGGGAGCTGCCACGTGGGTACTGGGAACCAAACCCGGGTCCTCTGGAAGAGTAGCTGGTGCTCTTAACTGCTGAGCCATCTCTCCAGCCCCTCACCCTGCTTTCTTTTTTTCTTTTCTTTTTTTTTTTTTTTTTGTTTTGTTTTGTTTTTGTTTTCCGAGACAGGGTTTCTCTGTGGCTTTGGATCCTGTCCTGGAACTAGCTCTTGTAGACCAGGCTGGCCTCGAACTCACAGAGATCCGCCTGCCTCTGCCTCCTGAGTGCTGGGATTAAAGGTGTGCGCCACCACTGCCCCGGCTCACCCTGCTTTCTTATATAGCCCCGACCACCTGCCCAGGGGTAGCGCTACCCACAATGGACTGACTCCTCCCACATCAATCTGCCCACAGACCAATCTGATAGAGACATTTTCTCAGCTGAGGTTCCCTCTTCCCAGTGAGTCCCGCTGACAAAAACAAAACAAAACAAAACCCCTGACCAGAACAATAGATGCGAGCATCATAAGAAACTGGTTCTCTCAGAGCTGGTGGTGAGAGGCCCCCACAGGGAAATTTAGAGCAGAGTCAAAAGGAAGAAACTGTGTGAGTGTCAGAAACGTCAAGGGGAGGGGAGCCCCTTGAAGGAGGCTGTGGGCCTTGAACACCCCCCACCCACCCCACCCACACACACACAAGGAGACAATGTAACTAGCAGGGAGCCTGGGATCCATCATCCTCTTGGCCTTAAGGAAGCAACGAGAGTCAGCGGAGGAAGAGCAAATGCTTCTCTTTCCCTGGCCTCTGCTCTGTCTGTGGGTGTCTCTCTCGCTGATGCTAGGGTGTGTGCGATGCTGAACTGTGCATCATCCGTCTGGTGCACAGAGTTCAGATCCACGGGAGGGCTCAGCTTGGGTCTTTGATGGAGGTGCCTGGAATAGCATCTAGCACAGGGGAGGGGGAGGGAGGGCAATGAATATGAATGAGAATATGGGTAGCTGGTGATGGATTGATAGACACGTGCGTATACATCTACAAACAGAGACAGGGCTGGGCGCGTAGCTCAGTTGGTAGGGTGCTTGTGGGGCACACAAAGCCTTCTGCTCACCCCTTAGTACCACACAAACTGAGCACAGCGGCACACGCCTGAAATCCCAGTGCCCTGGAGGTGGAGACAAGAGGGCCAGGAGTTCAAGGTCATACATAGAACTATATACATATGTATGCATATGGCTACATAGACAGTTTGAGGGCAAACTGGGCTATGTGAGATCCTGTCTCAAAGGAAAATTTAAAAAGGAAAAACATTTTTAAAAAAAGAATAGAGACAGAGATGCCTAGCTATATAAAATTTTCATAATTTCAGTTCACCTCGTGCTATATATTTGTCTTCGGTATCTATCTCTATAATCTAAAATGAACCAAAAGTTGCTATTTTAAAAATAGTTATAAAAAAGAGATCGTTGGGTTTTTTTTTCCCCCTTTCTTGCCAGTTTGGCTGAGGCCTCCCCCTAGCAACTGTCAAACAACAGAAATCCGCTCTCAGCACCCCATCCCAGCCCCCCCCCACTTAATTATCCGCTTATCATTTGTCCATGCCCACTATGTCTTCCCTATGTACTCCCCCACACTGTCTGTCCCCTCATCCTGGGGTACAAAACCCAGGACAGCGTAGACTTGCCAGCACCACTCTGTGACGGAGCCGCAGAGCCTAGCGCGAGCCTAGCAGTCTGAGGTGTGCACGGAGTGAATGAATGATCCACTGGAGAACAGAGACAGGGTCTCGGGTAACCCAGCCTGGCCTCGAACTCACTCTGTAGCCAGGAAGGACTACAGGGGTCACAGGCGAGTGTCGCTTCACCTAGTCTATACAGTGCTAGGGATGGAGCTCTGGGCTTTGTGTACGAGTACGTTCAATAAGCACTCTGCCTTACTGGGGTACGTGTCCTCGGAGCATGACCTTCAATGACCTTCCTTGTCTGTGCTCTGAGAAAGCCTCAGTCTAGTCTCTAACGGTCCCATGGGACCCACATGTGGCCAGCAGCTACCATACTGTGTGAGGCAGGCATGGAACGTTCTGTTGTTATAGAACGTCCTGTTGTAGCTGCCACGGGATCTAGAGATCCTGGAGTCTCAGAGACAGGTCTCTCCAGACCAACCAAGTCCAGGCTGTCCAGTACCCGCAAGCAGACAGGAGAAAACCATCCTTGTTACACACACACACACACACACACACACACAATTTTAAAAGTATTAAAAATAATTCTTTTTAAAAAGTTACTATTCGGGTGCACACCTCCCAGCACTCAGGGAGGCAGAGGCAGGTGGATCTCTGTAAGTTTGAGGCCAGCCTGGTCTACATAGTAAGTTCCAGGGCAGCCAGAGAGATACACAAAAAAAACCCTGTCTCAGGGGGAAAAAAAGTTACTATTCAGAACAAGATCAGATTTTTAACAAACGGAGACCCAAAGCTGGATGGGGTGACACACATCTTTAATCCCAGCATTCGGGAGGCTGGTAGAGCTCTGAGCTCAAGGCTAGCCTGGTCTACATTATAAGTTCCAAGATAGCCAGTGCTATGTAGAGAGACCCTGTCTCCAAAAAAAAAAAAAAAAGTTAAGAAGCCACAGGCATGAAAGACCATTAGAAGAAGAAATAAGGGCTGCAGAGACAGAGTCTGGGGGTGTTTTTATTCATAGTACCACTAAGCAGGAAGAGGACTCAGAAACCCTCCTACACGGGACTTGATATTTGCGATGAAAAATGTAAATCCCTTCCCTGCCGAAGCTCTCGTGGTATCTTCCAGAAGTGCTGAGTGGCAGGGTTCCCACTGAACAGGAATTGTTCACGTCCCCGGGAATCTGAGGGAAATATCTGGGCCCTTATGGAGCTGCTGTCTGTGCCACCCTGTCTCCAGGAGCAGTTCTTCAGTGACCTGGGGGCCAAGTGCAAAGGGTCTCGACACGAGGAAGTCATCCAGCGGCAGAGAAAGGCCTTGTCGGAGCTCCGGATACGAATCAAAGAACTGGAGAAGGCCAACTCCTCCAGTAAGTTCTCCGCTCCTTAGTCCCAGCTTGGGGGCCCCCAGAGCCTGGATTACACTAACAGTGATGGGCCAGGCCCCGCCTCAGAGTCAAGTGCAGGCCCTGATGTTAAATAAATAGGACACGAAAAGCTCACTGTCGTCCTCTTCCTTATTTCACTGTGGCCTGGTGGGAACTTTGTCATAGTCTAAAGCTACCTGAATTTGAGCCCCGGGGTGCCTCTGAGAGTGTCTCATTCAGAAAGGCTGGCATTGGCTCCGACTGGGCAGCTGGTGGCCAAGCAAGGCACTGAGCACCGGGTGCCCCAGTACAAATCCCATCCCCATCTCTGCACCTGAAAGACCTTAGGTGACGTTCACCTCTGCAGTGACAGCTTGGGGGCCAAAGCCTCATACTCAGTGTGTGGCCTTGGGCAAATCATTTAATTTCTCTAGGCCTTGGTTTCCTCATCTGCCAGAGAGGTCGTGAGGATTAAAAAGGGTTGTGTGGTGAGCTGTCCCGTAAGCCATAGCTACAGCGATGCTATGAAATGATGCCTTCCTGAGTCTAAATCATTTCTTTTGTAGATCATAAGGACCATGCGAATGAATCGTTCCTAGAACTAAAGACTCTGAGAATGGAAAAAAATGTACAGAAAATACTATTAGACGCAAAGCCTGACTTGACAACTCTCTCAAGAATAGAGATCCGATCGGTAACCAAAAATCGTTTATCTCTGCAGTGACTGACACGAGAGGGTGGGCATTAGGGCTGATGTGAGCTGAGCTACAAGCCAGTGGTGTTGGAGGTTCAGGGCCAGGGCCTCCCTGATAAGCAGGTGTCTGTCTGCATACACCCGCCAGTGAGTCTCTGGATAGTGGCACAGTCAGTGGCCTCCATCTGCATGGTACAGTCTGTCACAGCTTTGACTCTGAGCCACACTGGTCAGTGAAGCACAAAGGACTCCTCCTTTTCCCATGAGATGTGACATCCTGCGGAAAATGTCCAACAGGCTGATTCAGGAGACTATGCCGTGAGTTTGTCAAAGTCTGCTGTTCCCTGGAACCCAAAGGCATGAACACATACAAGCAGAAGGACACTGGGATGGGAGAGCCAGAGAGTCCTGTGATGGGGTCCAGCCTGCATGCTGTGTGTCCCCCAGCAAGGCTTTGACGAAACCCTGAAAGGAGAGCCAGGTGCGGCAACACACACCTGTAGTCCCGGAACTCGGGAGTCCAGGCAGGAATATCAGGGGTACAGGTCGCGTTTGATGACATGCTAAATTTTAGGTCTAACCAAGGCTACTTCTGACCATCTCAACAACAACAAAAATCAAGGTAACTCTACGGATGCTTTGGCCAGAGCCTGACTCAGAATTTATACTACATAATAGGTAGCTGTTATTGCTAAATACTATCCAAGGAAGGAGTGGGACCTTAGATAACAAGATTCTCGGGAGTGATTGTGACATTAAAAGTGACCTTACAACCTAAAGGATGTTAGACTAAGTAGCTGATGGACACATGACAATGGACAGCTCAGGTCAGGGTGTCAATCGCAGAACCCACCGACGACACACTAAGAATAAGACATGTGGAAGCTTCTAAAATGAACACCAGAGTTGTCCTATCTGAACCAATATCCTATCAAACTATCTTTCTGGGCATTTACCAGCATTGGATGTGAATGTATTTAAAGTGAGCTAGTTTTCTTAATAAAAATCGCACACCCCATCTCCGGGGTTGGGTGTGGAGGGACAGCTTCCAGATGGCAGGTCAGCTAGATCTCATGGCCTGACTCTGCTTCCCAGACAGGCCAGTCCCCTTGAGGATGACCCTCTACTGCCAGTACACAGCAGGGTACCTCCCAACTCTGCTTTTCAAAGCCCTGACCCTCCAAGGTTGGAAGCCATTTGAATTCTAAGAGGAGTAGGAAGGAAGGAAAGCCCGTATGGATGGAGCGCTTGCAGTGTGCTGAGCGTGAGCTGCGCCCTTCAGATGTTCGGTGAATCCTCGCAGCAGCTGGGCTGTCGCATTTCCACTGTCCCTATGTTGCAGATGAAGAATTAAGGTTTCAGAAGCCAAGTGCCTCATCCAAGGTCACAGAGATAAAGAAGGATGGAGCTTGTACTCTGTCCCTGGCTGTCTGGCGTCTGCAGAGAAGGATGAAAAGGGGGCGGGTCCCAGAGAGGGGAGGAGAGGACTCTGCTCGGTTTACTGTCATCTTCAAAGCCTTGAGGGCTGGGGAGATGGCTCAGTGGGTAAGAGCATTTGCTCTTCAAACATGAGGATCTGAGTTCAAATCCCCAGTGTCCATGGAAAGAGCGGGGTGCGCCCACACACCCACCTCTAACTCCAACATGATGGGAGATGGAGACAGGGTTATCACTGAGTCTTGCCAGCCTAGCTCCAGGTTCAGTGAGGGACCCTGTCTCAAGGGAATAAGGCAGAGAGTGACAGAGCAAGAACCCAACCTCCTCTGGCCTACACACACACACATGGGTTATACACACCTGGACATACATACATCATTCATGTGTTCACACATACACACACCAGATGCATGTGCACAACACACACACATACACACACACACACACAATCTTTTCTTATTTCAATATATCACCATTTCTTCTCTTACCAATTGTCAAGCCACAGTTACCACTGCCAAGCCTTTCTGGTTTTATGGTCAAGGTCTTTTTGGGTGCTCTTTTGATCTCCAGGGGTCACTTGGCAGCACCTGCAGATGCTAAGGACCAACCAAGATGCCCGTGATGTGCCTACTGAATGCTAGGGTCCACTTGGGTCCTGACGAGGTGTGTGTGTCACAGTTGCTCAAGGCTCTCTGATTCTCTGCCTGGCCTGGTTTCTGTCCCATGCTTCCAGTTGGAGCTCCCAGAGTCCAGCTGGCTGATGCAGAGCATAGCAAGATCACAGCTGGATGTCCCAGCCCACATCATCTCAGGAAATAGTCCAAGGGAGCCTCACCTACCCAGAGAACACTGGGGCCACACCTTCTGAAGGACTCATTTCTGTCGTATGAAAATGAGGTTCCTCTAACAAAAGGAGAGCACATTGTTCCTGCATAGCCGTCATTCATTCCTCAGGCACATCTTGTGCCACGGTGTGACCAGTGACTGCCATGCTAGGCACAGGAGCTGGGTACACACTGACGGCAGCATGGTCCCCATTCTATGGAGCTTGTCACTTTGGCCAGGGCTTCTCAACATTGACACAATATTTGGGTCAAGGGCTGGGAGACTTTAATTGGTAGAGTAATTGCCACACAAATATGGTGACTTGAGTCTGATCCCCAGAACCCACATTAAAAAGGGGGGAGCGTGATGGCGCACACCTTTAATCCCAGCACTTGTGAGGCAGAGGCAGGTGGACCTCTGTGAGTTCGAGGCCAGGCTGGTCTACAGAGTGAGTCCAGACTAGCCAGAGGTACACAGTGAAACCCTGTCAAAAAAAAAAAAAAAAAAAAAAAAACTGAGCACCGTAGTGTGCTCTTGAAATCCCCATGCTGGGGAAGTGAAGACCAAAGGATTTCTGGGGATCTGCAAGCCTCAGGACCTGGTGAGAGACACTGTATCAAAGAACAAGTTAGAGGACAGACAGCTCCTGAAAAATGGCACGTGAGGTTGGCCACTGGCCTCCGTCTCCACACACACACCATATCTAGGGTCAGACGACTCCAGGTCAGTTTGACCGGGGACTGTCTGGTTCAGTGGCAACCTCATCATCCTCCCTTTGGGTGGCAGTAGCACTTGCCCTCTTCAGGTGAGCCTAGACATCACTAACAACCCAGAAAAGTGGGGTGCAAACTTAACCCTGCTAAGAGACACTGTTCTAGAGTGGGGTGCAAACTTAACCCGGCTGAGAGATGCTGTTCTAGAGGAAAGACATCAGAGGAGGAACTGGCAGACATATAGCAAAGCCAATGACCAACAATTCCATCTAGATGGTCAGGAATAGAGATAAGAAATCTGTGGGACCTCTCTTCCACAGTCACACAGGGTCCTAGCTTCCTCATGGCCGACACCAACAGACCACCAAGGGCGTGTTCATTTCTCTTTCATTTCAGCCTCAGAATGGCCTTTTCAGCTCGACCTCCAACTTGGCTGTTGAGAAGTCCATGAAAACAGATGCTGCAGAAGCCTTAGAACTCAGCGAGAAGCTGGTGTGTGCACGCGCCGTCCCTTCCCTTCCCCTTCCTTTCTGCCCAGCACTGGTCCCCACATGTCATCACCATTAACCACAGGGCCGTTTACTAAGTATTAACCTCTGAGTCTTATTGAGCCATTCTAATAACTCGGCCAGACCCGGCTGCTACCCAGCATGGTTCAGGAATCAACACATAGGCAGTTCCTTGAAAGCTCCATCATTAGAACGAGTGTTAAAGTCCGTTGCCAATCTCCACCCATTCCGGAAAGGACTTATTGTACATGGCTGTGGGGGACATGAAAGACCTGACTGCAGTCACTTCCGACATACTGGTTTGCTTCCTCCGGCTGCAAAGAATGCGCTAGAGTCGACGCCAGCCTCCCGATGGCCTCCAGGCAGCCCCTAGCGCCGCCCTCACCAGCACCCCATCTCCTTGCAGTACATGGACATGAGCAAGACGCTTGGCAGCCTGATGAACATCAAGGACATGTCTGGCCACGTGAACTTGAAACACGTCTCGCCCAAAGAGCGTGAGAGGATCAACCACCTCCGGCAGAAGGACCTGGACCTGGTGTTTGATAAGATCACTCAGCTCAAGAACCGGCTTCAGAGGAAAGAGGAACTCCTGCGAGGATGCGAGAAGGAACTGGAGCAGCTCAGGTACCGCCACTGCCTGTGGTCCCTGCCTCAGCATGGAATGCAAGGCGCTGCCTGGGCTGGGACAAGTCAGAGGCCGGGATGCAGATTAAGGAAAAACACCAGTTGGGGGACATGACCTCCTGGAGCCTAGCAGGCGTTAAACCCTGAGTTCCATCCCAGTGCATAAAACTTGGCACAGAGTCTGTTCACATCTATAATCCCAGCACTCAGGAGGTAGAGGCAGGAAGATCAGGAGTTCAAGGCCATCTTCTGCTACACAGAAAGTTCAAAGCAAACCTGGGTAGCATGCCACCCTGTCTCACGATAATAAAAGGTCTGAGATGATTCTATAGGCAAAAGCACTTGTCCCACAATGGCAAGGAACTGAGTTTGAATCCCCAGGATCCATATACGAACAGTAGCAGGGGTGTCTATAGTTCTAGTGTTCCTGTGGGAAGGTGGGAGGCAGAAATGGGGTTCATTGTTCTGGCATACAAAACAGAAAAGCAGCAGAGAGATCCTGCCTTCAGCAAGACAAGGGCCCCATACCTGAGTTTATCCTCCGGCTTCCACACATACGTGCCCACATTCACACACACATGAACCTTGATTTCACACAGACTTGCAGGTCCCCACCCGCATCCTAGAGCACTGGAAAGGCCGGCCATCTTGAGCCATTCAATGCTGTCCATGTCTAGTGTGTTCTGAACTCTCGTCCCCAAGTCTTTGTCATGGTCTCAGAAGTCAGCTCCACATGGAAGGATCTAGAGAGGCTGAGGCCTTGATGACAAGTGGGGACACTGAGGGGAAACAGCACTCTGTCTCTCCATGCACCCAGGCAGAGCAAAGTGTCCGTTCAGATGTACCAGGCGCAGGTGGCAAAGCTGGAGGATGACGTCTACAAAGAAGCCGAGGAGAAGGCACTGCTGAAGGAGGCCCTGGAGCGCACAGAGCAGCAGCTGTACCAGGAGAGGAGGCTCAACAGGGCCTTCAGGCAGCAGAAGGTGAGCCATTTGGCCCCTTAGAAAGGACAGCTGGGAGAGGGGGGGCACACACCTGAGGATCTCTGTGAGTTCAAGGCCAGCCTGGTCTACAGAGTGAGTTCCAGGACAGCCAGGGCTACACAGAAAACTTCTCCTCAAAAAGAAAAAGGAAATGCTGTAACAATCCCAGGAAGACCCCCACAGTGCAGAAGGTGGCAGAATAGCTTTCCAGCACCTGCTTTGAGATGTTAAGCAGGTTCTTAACCCCGCCGGTTTACTAACCTCGCCGGTTTACAGCGTCTGTTGGTGCTGTTTCTAACTGCATCTGTTTATTTCACTGTCTGTGCATGGGTGTGCACGTGCTACAGTGCACGTGTGGGTGTCAGAGGACAATTTTAGCAGCCAGTTCTTTCCCTCTACCGTGTGGGTCCCGGGGATCAAACTCAGGTTGTCGGGCTTGGCAGTAGACACCTTCACCCTCTGAGCCACCGCAGCAGCCCCCTCAGCTCTTGCTAGGACAGAACAGACCTCAGGCTCGGATCAGACTAACAAGGAAATTAACCACAGCCACCATCTCTTCATGATGGGTCAGGCCCACGGCTCCATCTCCACTTCACAGCCGTGGCTGTATACTAGCGTCATCAAAGGGCCTTCCCGGTGAGGGCCATGGCCCTGATTTTTTTTTTTTCCAGATGAAGAAATGGTGCCTCAGTGGGTTGAGAGACCAGGGCTGGGGATGGGACGTAGCTCGGCTGGTTGAGTGTTTGCCGAGCATTCATTCCCAAAGCCCTGGGTCAGATCCCCGGCACTGCATAAACCCACTGCATAAACCCGGTGTGGTGATGCCTGCCTGTGAGCCCAGACTCAGGAGGAGAGACAGGAGGGTTAAGAGTACATAGCCAGCCAGCCCAGACGCAGGAGGAGAGAGAGACAGGAGGGTTAAGAGTGCATAGCCATGTTTGGGGCCCACCTGAGCCACATGAGATGAGGCCCTGTCTAAAAGAATAAGAAAAAAACAGTAAAAACAGAGGGTTGAGAGGTTGGCCCAGGTTCACACCGTGGCTGGTAAATAGGGCTGCACCATGGCCCCAGGCGTCTCCCCTGATTCCTGTACTGTATGCAGGGCTCTCCCCCCAGAATTCCCTTGTAATGATTATCTTTTTCAACTTTGGAGCTGCATGTTTATGTGTGGATGCACGTGTGTGTACACACACACACATATATATGTATAGATACATATATATATGAGTGTTTACATGTATATGACTGTGTGCAAGTATGCAAATATTCATGAAAATGGACATACTTGTATATGTGTGACTGTAACAGTGTATGCGTCTGTGTTGGCACAGACATACACATGACTCTTCTGTGTACATCAACATGGATGTGACACTGTGGGGCAGGGGTGAGCTCTGAGGAGGCCAGGACATCAAAAGAAGATGCCCCTCCCCATCCAGGAAGCTTTACTGGGGGCAGGGGCAGAGTCACTGGAGAAGCCCAGCCCTGCCCAGCAGAAAAAGCAGCCCCAAACACTGCTTGCACACTCATCCTTTTGAATTAAACATCATAAACTTCCACATGTGTGTGCCAGGGGCTACCCTAGGCAGATCACAGGGGCCTTTGGCACTGAGCCATGCCAGGACAGCTGAAGCAATGACAAGAGGCTGAACTTGCCAGGGTGCCCACTTCTTCCCAAGGTGCCCCCTGAGACTTGGCAGCCCAGGTCCTCGAGATCAGACTCAAAACCACATAACAGGACCTCAGAGGGCCCCCCAACAGCCCATTGTGGTATGCTGGCTGAAAAATCTAAGAACTTGGAGATTTGCATAATCAGTGTCGCATGCATTATTCATGAGTCGACTCCTTCACACACAATGCGGCCGCCCAGCCCGTTGGCACCAGACGTCCTGCGTGGGTGACCTGAATCGGTCCAGTTGAACCTGCAGCAGGGGTCCCCGCAGAGCTAGGGCTGGAGCCTTGCAAATTCTCGGGCTTTACAGTCTGGAGAGAGAGAGAAATGGAGCTGTAGCACGGCCACGTCGAGCTGATAAACGTCATGCTCCACCCGGGGTCACGTGATGCCTGCTGCTGGGCGCCCGCGCTTACTCCGTCCTGCACCTGCTGCATTCCGCCGCAGCTTGCAAGGGGCTCAGCCTGGGGCGGCAGGCTCAGAGGAGAACCGAGACTGACAAAGGGCCGCAATGCTAGGCAGCCCAGCAACAGAACAGAACCCCCACCACGCCCTCGGCCTCACGGGCCCCTGTGACCTCTACACTCCCCTGATTGCCAGGGTGGTGGGGGTGTCACTCTAGGGCTCTGCTTGTCATAACAGGCCTGTGACTCTATGTATTGTAAGAGACTCTTGTTTGCTAAGGGAAAAGAAATTCGAAGTCATCTGTCCATCCTAGGAGCGTATTTTCACTCAGGGCAAGTGTTCCCTGGGAGTCTGAGGCGCCTGGTGAAACCCTGTTTTTAAGGGAAGGGGTCTTAAAGGAAAATCAATACTTTAAGAAAATGTTTACATCTATTTTTTTCTCAAAGAGGATTAACATTTTTCAAAGTCTCCTGTGTAATATCATAAAGATGGACTGGTTGGGTCCAGGGGAGGAAAACTTCCCGTCTGGAGCTTCAGAACCATGCTGCTCCACAAGACAGACAGACACATACACGTGTGCACGTGCACCACATATACACAGACACAGAGACATACACATGCATAGACACACACCACATACACACACATGTACATGCATACACCAGTGTAATTTTAAAACACCCTTTTTTTCTTTTCTTGACTTTTCATTGATGTATAGGCCTTGCACGTGGCACCAGGTTACATGAGGACACTCTCCTGCACATAATACTATACATTATGCACACATACTCTCTCCCATAATCCTTCTTCTCAATCCCACAAGCCCCTTGGTCCCCTAGACATGTTTGGTCCTACTCTTGTGTCATATAAACATACTCAATTTTATAATCTGTGTCTACAGAAAGCCCGGGAGGCACACATGAGGGACAGCATTCACTGTTTGTCTTTCTGAGGGGGGGTTGACTGTCTGTAGACTATCACCTTCAACGGTGCAATGAAACACTAAGAAAACCCCTGTCCTGGACACACACACAGCCTGGGACCTCAGAGCTCTCTCTGTGGGACAATCGTACCGTTGCAATGCCCCTGGCTGTGCTCCAGTCCTGTTCCATTTCCATACTCCCGGATAAGGTGGCTGTCTCAGAATGAAGAGGTCAACTTTGGAGTCAAACCATAGGGTCTGTGCCACCTCTGAGACCTAGTGACAAGTAGGTGACCATCCCACATCTCCGGCTTCTCAACTACGGCAGCGGCAAACAGGACCCACTTTGCAGGAGCGTGGGGAAGGGTATATGGCAGAATGCCGGCAGCACCCCAGAAAACTCAGACCTACAGGGAGAGAAAGGCAACTCCACAGACGGTTGGGGCTGGTTCTGCCCCCCTGCACAGCTGAGAGCCCAGCAAACCCCAAGGCTTTTCCTGCTCCCGTAGGGCTGGCAGCCCTATTATAAAGCAGCCTTTTCTAGTTGGTGAATGCAGCTGGGGCCTCAGCCAAGAAAGAGCAGATACTTTCCGAGAATGGCTCAGATGGGAATTTTCAATAGAAAGCTTTTGAACACCCGGGAGCTGCCCTCTGAGAAGCCTGTGAGCCCTTTCCCGGGCTTTGTCAGGCCTGGAAATGTGAGAACAGCTGCTATCAGTGGCTGCTTTAGCCAGGGGAGAAAACTTCACTCCTTTCCAGGCTGCAGCCTGTCAAATCCCAGCCCAGGGGGCTCGGGCACTGCTGTTAGGAGCAGTCTCAGCTGGCCGGAGCCCCCAGCCCCTCCCATGTCTTCAGGATGAGAATATAAACAGGGCACGGCCCAGGAGGTTCAATTCAACCAGAGCGCGGTCATAAAGCCTGAGCAGGTGGGATGTCCAGTGATACCTTTGGTCACTGCCATCATCCTTATTCCATTTAATTAATTCACTTCTTTCTAAGATTGACGTGGGCCCAGATATGGTCCAGATCCTCTCTGCCTCTGTCCCACTGTGGCCAAGGAGTAGAAACCAGTAGGCGTTGGGCAGGCGAGGTTGGCTTGTTAAATAAAGGCTCTCTTGAGTTATTCTCTAACCACCACATGAGCTCATAGCTCACACAGACACTAAATAAAAATAACAAATTAAATGAAAAAAAAAATGAAAGAAGTCACTAGGTATATTGGATGGGAATGGGTTGAGAGCCAGAGGATGGAGGCCGGAGCATAAGATGCAGATACGTGGTGTGGAGGATGGATGGAAAGTGCTAAAGGAAGGGTTCCACCCTCCCACGTGCCTCTTCTGAGAGCCTTGGGCTGTGAACCATAGCATCTCCCAGAAGCCCTCCTAGGTATACCCCAGGCTGGAACAGGACAGACTAAACGCGCTTTCCCTCCCCTGATATTTCACTCAGGATCGAGTCGAGGCTCAAGAGAAAAAAGAGGCATCCTGCAGCTGTCCCTTCAAAGACAATGAGAGGCAGGTACGAAACGAAGCGGCGAGATCGGGCAGCCCTGGGCCCAGTAGCCTGTCCTGGCAAGGATGAGAGCCCCGCAGCAATGAACAGCAACCCGCTCTGCCCAGGGACACTGGCACCCCTCCCCGTCCTCCCTCCCAGCTTCACCCTGCCCACTGCCTACTGGCACTTTGGACAGAGGACCTAGGAGACAGGCAAGTGTCTAACCCAGGGTCCCGAAGTGTAAGAAAACCCAGGGCACTTTTGACTGATGGGACAAAACATCTTGGACACTGAATGACCTGGGGATTCGGAGACAAAGTCGTGAGAAAAGAAGAAAGGGGGAGAGTGGGGGTATCCCAGGACCTCCAACCTAAGGATGAAGGGCAAGGGGGTACAAAGTGGGACCTAGGATGGAGATGAAAGTCCCCGACTATAGCAGCCCTCACCCCTGCATCAACTTTCACCTCACTCAGGGCTTCCTGGCAGCCAGGAAGTGGAGATCCATCCCACTTGGTCCCCAGTTCACACTGATCCCCAAATACAGTACATGAGCGGTTCCCAGTGTCCTCAGAACAAGGGCCATCCAGCGTATTCCCCTGGGGGTGTCTCCTGTGACATAATGGACCACATCCCCAAGAGTAGTCTTGGTGAAAAGCAACCCTGCGTCCATTGAGTCACACCTGAGAGCAGGTCCTGATGTCCTCCCACCCCCCTGAGTCCAGCTCCCCGGCTCTGCCCTTCAGGGCGCAGCTATCTGCCAGCTGGCCTTCATTCACAAACGGATTCCGGAGCAGTGAGCTAGGGTTCCTCAGAGTCCTTGGGTTCCATGGGAAGGATGACGCTTGACACCTCCGACCCCACATTAGCCAGAGTGGCTTCACTACATACATTTTCTATGCCAACATACTCGTGGGAGTTGAATTGGGTAAAGGGTTCTGCTGCAGAAAGTGGAGAAAACAGGGAAACAGGGAAAGAGAAAGGAACCCAAACCAGGGCTGGGGCTGCAGGTCAGTGGTAGAGCCCTTACCTAGCATATGAAAAGCCCTGGGTTCCATCCCCAGTACTTTAAAAAAGAAAGAAAGAAAGAAAGAAAGAGAGAGAGAGAGAGAGGGAGGGAGGGAGGGAGGGAGGGAGGGAGGGAGGGAGGGAGGAAGAGGAAGGTTTTAAATGGCCACTTTATAATACCGCAGATCCTAGATAGAGGTCATTGTCCAAGCCTAGGCCCCTTAAGCCAGGTTTGTGACATGTGTATGTACATATGCATTTGTGAGCATGCGTGCATATGTGCATGGGGTGAGTGTGTGCATGTGTGTGCATGCATGCATACATGTATGAATGTGCGTGCCTGCATGCGTGCGTATGTGTGTTGTGCATGCGTGTGTGCCTTGTGTGCCTCTGTGCGTGCATGCGAGTGTGTGTTCATGTGTGTGTGTGTGTGTGTGTGTGTGGTGGGCCAAGATGTGCAGTTGCCTGCAGAGGCCAGAAGGCATGGAGTTAGAGTTACAGGCAGTTGGTCCTAAGCCTCTAACAGGGACCCTGGGAACCAAACTCAAGTCCCCTAAAGAGCAGTCCAAGCTCCTAACAGCCATCTCTCCAGCCCCAACGTGATAAATACTGAACAACTGCAAGCTCAAGGCCCCCTAAGTACAAAATACCCAGAGGGCAGCTGCCAGCTAAATTCAGGCCTCAAAGAGTTCCGGGGACAGCTGTTTGGAGAGTACTGAAGAGACTGACACGCATTCACTCTGCCTGTCCCAGGAGACAGCCCCCACTCCCTCCCTCCATGGGGCTTGGGGAGAGCCTGGTGGGGCTGCCAGAGCAGGAGGGGAAAGTAAACACAACACCCAGTTACAGCTGAATTTCATGGGGGGGTTGTCGTTCTTCTACAGTGTTGGGGTAGAACCTAGGGCCACTTGCCTGCTGGGAGCACGCTCTACTACAGAGCCACGCCCTCTGCCTTTTGAACTCAGATAAACAACAACAACAACTAGTAATTTAGTCCTTAAGTCCCGGACACTGGAGGGGGGGGATATATTTTCTTAGTGATGTGCTTTCATTATGAAGCTGGGACAGACTTGGGCACTGTTTTCTCTGGCAGTCCACCATTAAGTATTGGTTGGACACCAGCTTGGTGCCAAGGTGGGAGACCCAGAAGCAGCTGCCACCAATAGCTGCCCACAGGTGTGCTTCAGCTGGCTCGAGAGATGTATTTTGCTTTGCGGTTTGGGTGGTGGTGTTTTTTAGCTTCTCTGAGAAATGTGTGAAACAAGAACAGAAGCCCAAAAGTCCGTCCACCACCTCCTTCCTAGCTTCTTAGGAAGGACCCAGGCTCCTGGTCCATAATTCACCCAATCTCTCTTCCTCTTGCTCCACCCAGAGCCCTAAAGGTGGCTATCTTTAGGGTGTTCAGAGCTTTCTGGGAACTCCCTGTCCCTAACAGTACCTTGGACTTACTTGCTGACCAGGAGATCCCAGCTTGCCCCTCCCTCTGGTACCCCTGAACCTCTGAAGGGTCTCTCTCTTCCGGGAATTACCCCACGTAGGCTCTGGAAGACACCAGGGCCGACACTTCTGAATCTGAACAGCCTGCAGGACTGGGGTGGCAGTGGCTTCCCAACAGGCGATCCCCAGAGAGCAGGGCAGTCACTGTGGTCTCCTTAGGCCTGCACCTAAGTCCTCTGTCCCACTGTGCTGCAAGGTCCTGCCACCAGCAGAAGCAACTTTGCCCCCTGAAAAGGGTCTATGTTCTCTGGGAGAGCCCTCAGCCAGCCAGTCTCCTCCAAGCAAGAATCTAATCAGATCCCTAACGGGCTACGCAGGAGCCCCTGTACTCCCAAAGCAGCACCACCCCTACTGCAAGCAAATGTGTCACTTCCTGCCCCCCCCCTTCCAAAAAACAGGCCCAACATTCCAAACAAACAGCATCTTAAAATAGAGAGGAATCCATTCTCCCTGACGCAAAAGGCAATGCAAGTCTATACTAAATGCTGTCACTGTCTTTTTTTGTGTTAAAGAGACGCATATTTGTAGAGGTGGTCAAGAGAAAGATGCAGAACTCCAATCTCCAGGTGAGCGGGAAAGAGAGGAACCGGTTAGCCTCAGCAGCACGTGGCATCTCCCCACCTCTGGGGCGGGGGTTAACCTCACCCACAGAGCAAGGGTCTAAGGCTCAGAGACGGAGGTGTCCCCAGCCACACAGTTAATGAGGAAATATTGGGTATTCCGGTCCTGTAAACTTACCACAGTTCCGGTAAGCATTTCTCTCCAATTCCGAGAGAACACCACCTAAAATATTCTTTTTTAAGACCTGAGAATCAAGACTTTGACATTTTCAATAGACCAAACCCTCGCAGTTGCGATCCAGCCCTTCCTGGAATTGCCCCAATGGGCACTCTGCCTTGCTGAAAGCAGAGGCGAGCTTGTGGACGTCTGGGGAGAGACGCACTTCCTCTGTACGCGAAAGGGGAGGTAAATCTGTCAGAGATTCAGGGGTGCAAATGAAGGAGGCATAGCACCCCCCAGTATGGCCTGGCCTCAGTGCTCAAACACACACACACACACACACACACACACACACACACACACACACATACAGTATCACCCTCGACAGCCTGAAGAGTTCTCTTGAGCTTCAGGGACCTCGACTCAGGCTAAGCCAGGATTCGGAGCATCAGTGATAAAAAGCACTTCAAGACAAGCCAGTTTATAAAGCAGAATTGGAGATTTTCGATTTTAGTACAGAGAGTTTCATGTAGGTTTCAGCACAAGGGTTAGGTCAGACATACTCAAGTGTGGGTGTGGCTCCTCAGGGAAGAGTCAAGGTTCGCCCTGTGCTTTCTGACCCTGCGTGCTTACCTGGTAAAGTTTCCTCCGGCGTCTGTCTCCGGCCAGGCTACATGGCTTTTCCTTGACTCTGCCTAGTATTTCCCAGCATTTAGTCTAGTTTTCCCACCTAGCTCTATTCTGTTAAGCCACTGGCATTTTTTTTATTAACCAATGGCAATAAAACATATTCACAGCACACAGAGGGGAATCCCACATCACCCTCCCTTGCAGCCAATAGTCTTTTGTCATTGTTTGTGGGCTACATGCCAAAGTAGACATTTCTCTAGTTTTCTATGTTCTAAAACATCTCCTCGAGACCTGCTGATTGCCTAGGCTGGGCTACCACACTGCTGAGCGTGGGGTAGGAAGCGTGAACACCAGGTTCCACACCATGACAGATATGAGCTGAGATGTGTCATGAGGATGTGGCAAATGAGGGCAGGTGTGGAGGTTAAGCGTACATCCCCCAAAGGGGCAATGTGACCTCCAAGGGGGCAGACAGAAATTCTTTATGTGTAAATCACATACATGAAAACACACATATGCACACATATGCACACATGCACACAAACTTTCTTAGCCCTGACATATATGTGCACGTGCATAATACATGTATGCATACATGAATACCATACATGACATTTTCATACAGTTGAGAGAGCATAGGGAAAGATACCCACAGTGTCAGCAAGGGGTGATAATGAATGAAGGGTTGGCAAGGGAACCAGATCAGAACACTCACAAGCCTTCCTCGCTTAGCCTCGGAACTATTTTTTTTTTTTTTTGTTAAGCGGATGCAAGGGCTAATAATTACTTTGGTCAAAGGGCTGGGAAGGCAAAGGTCAGCGGGCAGAGCTCCCGAGCCTCTTTCAGGGGGTCCCACCCAGTCAGAGGCCACAGAGGCATGTGGGAAGACAGCTAAGGCATCCGTGGCTGCTTGGGAACGGCTTGGCCTTGCGGTTGCCAGAAAAAGCCGACCCAGTGTATAATTTCCACCTGGGCAGCACTGCTGCAGTCTGGGCTCTGTCCCTTAGGGTGTGGACTGTGATCCCAAAGATGGCAGACTGAACACTGGGTGCTGTCTGTCTGGAGGCCATCTCGGGCTGGGCTCTGCCAGGGCTCTGCCCCTTCCTGTTTACATCAGCCGGTCCAAAGTTGGCAGCTACCTCCTCTGCGCAGGTCCGTGAGCACACCTGCCTTCTGCTGGCCCTTCCCCCATCAAGCCAAATAGACACCAAAAGTCCCTTCTTCCCCCACTCTTGGCAAACACGGGGATGGCACCACCTGGACCTGGAACTCTATTTTTAATAAACATCTTCCTGGCTCTGGTGCCACAACAGGTTGGGGCAGTGGCATTTGGGAACCACCTGCAGGTGGCAGTTTTATTGACACCCCCAGTGAAAGAAGCATGAAGAACAGATCTTGGTTGCTGTCTGGTTGCTTCCTCCCTGGGTGTCAGGTCAATAGCGGCTGAGTGGCCTTCTGTACCAGTTTTCCTCCCCTGAATGGATTCTGAATGCAGGGTCTCAGAACATATTCAAGGGCCGGGTATGGTAGGCAGCACAGGTCTGTAATCCTAGCACTTGGGAGGTAGAAGCAGGAAGATCAGGGATTCAAGGCTAGCCTGGGCTATCTACCATTTCAAGGCCAACCTGGACTACATATTTTTGTGGGGGGAGGGACCTCAAGACAGGGTTTCTCAGTCTAATAGTCCTGGCTGTCCAGGAACTCAATTTGTAGACCAGGCTGGCCTTGAACTCACAGAGATCAACTTCCCTCTGTCTCCCAAGAGCTAGGATTACAGGTGTGCACCACCACTACCTGGCAAAATCTTGTCTTAAGGAAACGAAACAAGGGCAGAAGAGTTGATTCCATCGTTAAGAGCACCTGTTGCTCTGCAGATCCTTGGGGTTCGATTCCCAACCCCCACATGGGGGCTCACTGTCATCTTAACTCCATCTCCAGGGCAGCCAGCACCCTCTTTGGACCTTGTCAGGTATCAGGCATGCGTGTGGGGCACACACATCCTTACAAGCAAAATGCTCACACACATAAAACAATACGATTATTTAAAACAAAACAAACATATAAGGCTCCCATCTGCCGCTCATCTGGGCCTCTTGAGGGTAATTTCAAAGCTGTCCTAAAGCACAAAGGGATCAAGAGATAGCGTTCCTGTCAAGATGTTTCCAGAGACTGGAGAGACACCTCTGAACATTAGGGCGCTTGATACCAAGTTTAGTCCCCAGCACTCACAAGGTAGAGACAACAGACTCCTGTAATTTGGATTCTGACTATATCCATGGCATGTACACATATGCAACACACACACACACACATGCACACGCATGTACATACATGCCTACACACCCAAACAAATAAAACGTAATTAAAAAAAATAATAATAAACCTTCCCAGGATGACTCCAAAGTCTCTGAGAAAGACAGGCCCCAAGCCTGGTCTCCGTCTGACAGAGACTGTGGGTGGGAAGTGGGGGGAGGTGTCGCATAGTGACAGCTGGAACTCACCATTACCAGCCAGCTCCCATTTGCCTTGGGGGTGTGTGAATACTAATAACTGCAGTCATATGTGAAGGAGACGGCAGGAAGCGTGCATCCTGCTAGATAGGAACTCAAAAGGCCAAGGTGTCCACAGAACATTGAGGGTCGTGTGCAAGAGGGCTTCTGGGACTGTGGTGACCTACCCAGAAATGGGGAGATGTATAGATGGAAACAGAGATGGGTGTCCCATGAAAACCAAAGGAGAGGACCGGATGCTGTTTACACACACACACACACACACACACGTCTACTTGACTACAAACATGCACACTGCAGACCTCTTCCCAGTCACATGACAGGAAGCGAGTGAACGACAGCTAGAGTCTGTAAACCCTGATCCTTGGAGCCACCATCATCCAAAAAGCCTGGCTGTGACCTGGGATCAGCATCAGGCCTGTGGCTAGCATGGTGTCCCCTGCAGAGGGAGTGAGAAGGACTCAGAAAGGAGTGAGGGCCCCCTGAAGAGTCTGCCGTGTTCTCTTGTCAAGCCGTCAGAGCCAGAGGGACACCTTCAGTCCTGTGACAGCTATGCTGGACACACCCCACCCTAGGGGCAGCCCCCATCACACAGCTCCCATTTCCAAACAGACGGCGTCCAGTACAAAGGGAAGGAAAGCAGTCCGCACGCTGCGAGCCGCAAGGATGCACTCACGCATGAGGCTTTTTTTGGGGAGCGTGGCAGTGTGCAATCATTGTACCCCCTTGTTCATATCTGTAGGCATACATATTTTACTTTGTTCCACAAACAAAAACTGCATAAGGGTCTGGAATTGATGGCCCATCAGTTGAGAGCGTGTACTGCTCTTGCAGAGGACTAGGGTTCGATTCCCAGCACCCATGGCAGGAATCTCACAAATGCCTAGAACTCCAGCTCCAGGGGCAATCTGCTGCCTCTGGGCTCCTCAGGCACCTGTACATGCATGCGTGTGCTCATAAACATAAAGACATACACTTAATTAAAAATGAGGCAAATTTAGCCAGGTGGTGGTGGCGCCTTTAATCCCAGCATTGTGGGGGAAGCAGAGGCAGGCGGATCTCTGTGAGTTCGAGGCCAGCCTGGTCTCCAGGACAGGCTCCAAACCTACAGAGAAACCTTGTCACAAAAAATAAAATAAAGTAAATTTTTAAAAAATGCATAGGCCATTTGGGGTTCTGACTGCATTGACAAATTTTGTGCTTTTGTTCTTTTTGCTCATTGAAGGTTGGAAGCAAGAAAGTCACCCAGAAGACAGGCCAAGAAAAAGAGACGAAAAAGGAGGCATGCAAGTCTAGCCAGAGTCTGTCGTTTGTTAAGTCGGGTGGAAAGAACTAGAAAACACACTGTCCCAGGGCTCATGTGATCCTGAGTGAGTCAGTCTGACTCTCCAGTAAGCCAGGGACTTTCAGAGCACGCTAAAGATGGCTGCTTAATTGTTTGGCTTTCTAGATTAATATTTTGTACAGAATGTATTTTGGAGTGTGTGGAGAGAGGATTTTTTAAAAAATATCTATCAATGTATATACACTCAGGTATATAAAGAATATGTCTATAACCCAGACTCCTAGCCCTGTGGATACAGTTGTGTGCCAAGAAACCCAACTAGAGCCACAGGGCAAAGGGGAAGCTTGGAGCACTTGACCACATTATAATGAATTTATATCTGAGTTTATTATAATAAATTTAGAATGCCAATCATTTCCGTTGCTTCTGTAATCCTGATCAACATGTCTATGGCACTTTGAGTTCTCAACACTCTTCTGAATTAATCCTTTCCCCAAGCCCTTCGTTCCTCCACTTCACAGACCAGGATGCCGAGCCCGGGAAGTTGGCTGGCCTGCCTACAGTCACTCAGTAAACGCAGGAGCTGGGTTTGGAAGCCCGGTTTCTGATTTCCACATTGTCCATCCTGCTGAACTGAGCGACCTTAGTTTTCCCAGTCTCTGGCTACAGGACAGACCAGGGACTCAGTCCCCAAAGAAGATGTATTCCATTTCCATGTGGTTCACAGAGACTCATTTCTCCTCCGGTGCCCTGCCTTCTGTCTACCCACCTGACCTCATCACTGTCATTCTCTCTTGGCCTTGCAGCCAGCCACACCTAGGTGGGGAAAGGGCCAAAAAAAAAAAAAAAAAAAAAAAAAGCACAAAAATAGGTTGGTTTTGTTGTTGTTGTTTTATTTTTGAAAGCCACAATAAAAATATTTTCATATTCTATTGTAGTTTCATTCTGCTGCTATGATAAAATACCCAGATGAAAAGGAACTCAAGGAATGAAGAGATTTGTTTCAACTCATTTTGCCAGTGTCAAGGCAGGAACCTCAAACAGCTAGTCACACGATACCCACAGTCGAGAGCAGAGAGACATGAACACGTCTGCTCGCTTGCTTGTGCTCAGCTCAATTTCTCTACTGTCTTAGAGTTCAAGTCCCCTTGCCTAGGGAATGGGGCCACCCACAGTGGGCTGGGTCTTCCCAGGTCAGTTAACTTCACTAAGGCCACGCCCCATAACTACGCCAGCAGACCAAATCACAGTAGACAGTGCCTCCGTGACACTCTCTTCTCAGGCGACTCCAGGTGGGGTCAAGTCGACAAGGAAAGCTAACATTGTGTATTCTAAAACCAAACGCGGTCTTCATATTTGTTAAATACTTGGGGAACAGAGGAGAAACTCTTTATGTGGTATTCCACATCAGGTGTGTTCAAAAATCAGAGAGAAAGGTGAACTTGACTTGATCCTGGCGATGTTCCTGAAGGACTGGAGAGACGGCCCAGTGTGTAAGAGCACTGGCAGCTTTCTAGACAACCCGGGTTTAGTTCCCAGCACTGGTCAGACAGCTCGCAGCCATCTGTAACTCCAGCTCCAAAGGATCTGACACCCTGCCCTCTTCTGACCTCCACAGGCAACTGCTTACACATGGTACACGTAAGCACAAACACACAAATACACACACACACACACAAATGTAATTAAAGAAAGGCTTTCTTAAAGCTCTTTTTAAAAAAAATCTCAAAAACATTTTTTTTCATGAAGAACCTGAACTGAGCCATGCCTGTGATCCCAGCACTCCAGAGTCAGGGAAAGTGGCAGCAGGAGTTCAAGGTCATCCTCAAGGACGTAGCAAGTTTGGGGTCTGCCTCAAAAGGAGGAGGTTGAGGAGATGGCTCGGTGCGCAAGCATGAGGGCCTGAGTTCAAATCCCCAGTACCCAGGTAAAAAGCCAGGTGTGTCTGGCTGTACGCTCTCCTGCACCCATAGTGATCTAAGGGATACACAGCAGGATTGCTGGGGCTCGCTGGCCACCAGCTCAGATCTTGGGTCAGTGAGAGACCCTGTCTTGGTGGAAGGTTAAAGTAATGGAGTGAGACACCCACAGCCTTCTCTGGCTTCTGCATCAGTGCATACACGAGAGCTCACATCAACACACATATGCACACATCAAACACACATACACACATGCACACACAAGCACGTGTGCACACATCCACACATATGCACACATCAAACACACATGCACATACAAGTGCATACACACATATCACACACATACACACATAAGTACACGTGCACATATATGCACATATCAAACACACATGTACATACAGGCACGCGTGCACACACATATGCACACATGCACACACAAGCACACTTCCACACATATGTGCTGCCCACACACCAGAACTGAATAATTTTATTGGCCCTTGTCCTCAAATGCCACGCACCGTGCCCCCGTGTCTGCGCTCTGTGCGCTGGCACCCAGTTCGCGAGCTTCGGGCAAGGGGGCTGGAGGTTAAAATACACAGACAGACGACAGACAGACAGACAGCGACACGGGTCATCCTTGAATTCCCCAAGAATGCCCCCTTTATTGTGTTCAGGGGCAGATTATATAGAGATAGCCACGCCCCAGCCAAACCCACCAGAAACCACTCTCCTGCCATCAGGAACTCCTGAAGGTCTTGTGCTCAGAGCAGCTGTAGGCACTCAGATCAGGGGATTACAAGAAATTCAGGATCTGGGCTCTCACTGCTCCCAACACTCAAACTCCCAAACAGCAAGTTTTCATCCAAAAACCATCCTAGATCACTAAGTTAAGCTGCAGTCAGAGCTGTTGGCGCACATCTGAGAAACGAAGCTTGTAAACCACACCCTGCTTCTCTGTTGTACACGTGCATAGGATTTGCATGTGCTGAAGGTAAACATGTAGGAATCTACTGGATTCTAGACTACTCAAGGGTCATATTAGCCAGGATGGTGGCACAGGTGTGTGGTCTCAGCACTCAGGAGGTAGCTGGGCATGAGGATCGCAAGAGTAAAGTCAAGCCTAGGTTACATAGTAAGTTGAAGGCCAGCCTGAGCTATGTAGGAAGACCTTGTCTTAAAAAGAAAGGAAGGAAGGAAGGGAGGGAGGGAGGGAGGGAGGGAGGGAGGGAGGAAGGAAAGAAAGAAGGAAGAAAAGAAGAAAGAAAGTTGTGTGTGGTCAGTGAGATATGGCTCTGTAGTAGAGACATTGTCCAGCATGGACAAGACTCTAGGCTCATTCTCCAGCATCACAAAGAAAAAGGAAGAAGTGGTGGAGGGGGGGGGGGGAGGAAGGAGGATGGGAGGAAAGAGAGAGAGAGAGACATGGTAATTTTTTTTCTCACCTTTACAACTGACCTCACTTCCTGACACCTGCCTTCCCCAGAGGAGCAACCCACATCAGATTTGCTGTATCATCAGCCAAAGCGGATGGTTATAGCCAATTTCCCTCCTGGCTCTACCATAGAGGACTGGTTATAACCAATCTGACTCCCTCCCAGTTCAACCATAGCAGGCTGGTTATAACCAGTCTGACTCCTCCCCCTCTCTTTCTCCCCCAGTTCAAACTGGGCCCATCAACTCCTCCATCCTTGGCATTTGGAAGTGGACACTGAGATGCCATTCAGGTCCTCAGTGAGTTGGAGATTAATGGTGATACAACGCTATCCCAGGGCTGGAGCAGCCAGGGTCCCACCTGCATTCAGAGAAAAAGAAAGAGCAGATTCTCTGGAAGGGAAAGCCAGAATATGTATATATATAGAGAGAGAAAGTCAAGGAGCCCCAGAAGCCCAGAGAGACAGCATAGGGCCAGTATAAAGAGAAGACACTGGGAAGCAGATCCTATCTCTGCTTGGTCACTGTGTGGTCATCTCCTTCCTCTGCAATATAGGCTAAAAGCTGAACATCTTGGTTTTCCCTCCTCCCTTGCAGCTAGAACGTACTACACAGAGCTGGACATTGTCACAGATGTCAGAGTCCTGGGAAGGCTTTGCTTCTGAAAGAGAAGGAAAAACCTGCCTTCAAATAACAATAGAGTAGAAAGGAAGAGGGTCTGGGGGCACCTGGTGGCATCCGTGAACTCTAAAGGCATGACTGGGCTGCCTTTCTCTGGACTTTGTTTGTCCCCACAACTGAAACCAATATAGTCAGGTGCGCATTGGCTCCGGAACAAACCACCCGAAACTTGGCAACATAAAACACCAGATATTATGTCTCGTGATTGCACAGGTCCAGGGAGGCCAAAGCTCTGCCGACTACCCTGTCTGCTTCCTGACAAAGCCATGGGTTGGGGTAGCAGTTCTCAACCATGAGCGATGCCACTAATCAGACAGAGGGTGGGGGCTGAGGCTGCCAAATACCCAACACCTCGCAGAACCGTCCACCAATGCAGAGAAGCAAGTGAGATTGTGAAACTCAGCCTACGGAGGCCTTGGCAGGGCTTGTTGCAGCTCAGTGCGCTCTCCCATCCTCCCAGAGGACCAACAAGGCTCACGCGTGTGGTGGTGGCCACGGGTTCCAGAGAGAAGCTGTTGAGAACAAGTTCCAGCGCATGCCTCTGTAGTCTCTATCTGCCTCGGGTCTGTTCATCTTCCGGGAGACAAAGCCAGAGTTGGTACAGGAGGGGCTCGAAACCTTCACCATCCTCCCTCGCCATGTTGCTGTTATTTGAAGCTGAGCACATGCCCAGCTGGACCACAGGAGAAAGCTACCTTGCCTGGAGGTCACTCCCTTGCTTGTAGTTCCTTCCCTACTAAAGGGCAGCTGGCCCCAAGGCCTGCCTTTGGTTTCCGCTGGGGCCAGATGCCTGGGTTCTGTTGGGTCGACGGTTCGTTGGTAAAGTGCTTTCTGTGCCAGCATGAGAACCTGAGGTCCATCCCCAGAACTCACATAAAAAAAAGTGGGATGTGTACTTCTAATCCGAGAACCATGGGGGTGGGTGGAGACAGGCAGAAACCTCATGCTCCCTAGCCAACCCGAATAACCTAAACAGTGGATTCCAGGACCCGGTCTCAAGTCACAAGAGAGGGGACACCTAAGAACTGACACCTGAGGCTGAATCCTGACCTCCACACACTGGTACATGCACTACACACACACACACACACACACACACACACACAAACACACACACACATTCCTTGGCTGCACACAGGAGGAGCCCAGGAAAATAGTTAAGTTATTTAAAGGTGTTGAAGTGAGTTCGAGAATAGAATAGAAAGGTTAGCCACACAGAAGCAGAAGCTCAGAAGTGGCTTTTTGGCCCCGTACACACACTGGTGGCTCTGAGATGTGCCAACAACATGACCTTGGATATGTGAGTGGGTGGGCTATGCCCGACTAGAACAAGTTGTCTTCGGTTCCTCCTGCTATGGCGCACATCTTCTTCTGCCTTGCTGGTGGCAGCCCGTGTGGAAGCCCGGAATCGTGACTCTGCAGCTAAGGTGGCTTCTCTAGCAACTTGGCAGCATCGCCAGTGCCTGCTGTTGCAGAAGCCAGAGTCATGAGACGTCTGGGTGAGAGAGAAAAAAAAAAAACAAACCTAGCTTCCGGATCTTCATTTCCAAACCATGCTCCTAGGAAGAACTGTGGTTTCTGATCTTGGGCAGGGGACTTAGAGGGGGAAGCAATACGGACAGGAGCCGAGGAAACCAAAAACCTGCAAATGCTAACTGTGGCCCTCTCTCTCCTCAAGGAGCCTCCTGAGCAGGAGGCCAGGATGGAATATTTCAGCTTATCAAGCTGGCCTGGTTTCCATCGAGATACACTGCTTGCATCCGTCCTCTCGGTGTCTCCGGTTATTTTGGGCCAACTCATG